AGGTCGGGCAAGTTGCCATGAAGGTGAGAGGCTCCTTGCTGTGGTGCAGCAGACCCGCAGCACAGGGTCCTGTGTGGCACCCACCCCTCACAAGCACACTGCTGCTCCATGCCCGCCCTGCCCACGCGAGGGAGACCCCAGCCCACCCGCCCCTCGGGGCCATGTCCCAAGCCTGGAGGGGGGCACAGCATGGTCACGGCTCTCCCTGCAGATGCTGCAGGGCCAGGGGGTGAAGTTCTACATGAAGAGCCAAGTCTCGGAGCTGCGCGGAGAGGACGGGAAGGTCAGTCCTGGCCGCCCACGCCCCGCATCTCCAAGGCCACCACGTGTCTCGCGTGACACCGGGAGGGGATTGCTGGGGGCTGGGCAGGGCCTCAGCTGGCTGCGGCCTCTTCCCAGGTCACAGAAGCCATCCTGGACAGTGGGAAGCAGCTGCCGGCTGACGTAGTGGTGGTAGGAATAGGTAAGCGATTCCCCCCATTCTCCTTGTTCCAGGGCTGCTGCCCCAGGCGTGCTCAGCAGCTGCTCTGTCCTGCCCCAGGTCCTCCCCCGGGGCCACGAAGGACCCGCTGCTCCAAGCAAGGCACAGGCTCTGTGCCCGCTGCAGCCTGGGGCCAGCAGCCGGCTTTGGGCACGGGGACAGGCTCCCTCCACTCACCCTCTTCTGTCTGCCCCAGGCGTCTCCCCGGCCTCCGAGTTCCTGAAGGGCAGCCCCATTGCCCTGGATGCCCGAGGCGCCGTCCTGGTGGACCTGGTGCGTAGGCTGAGGCTGCAGCTGTGCCACAATTGCTCCTGCCCGCACCCCTGACCACTCCCTGTCCCCTCACAGCTCATGAAGACCAACGTCCCGAGCATCTTCGCTGCCGGGGATGTGGTCGCCTTCCCGGTCGCGCTGCTGGGTGGAGAGAGAACCAGCATCTACCACTGGCAGGTGGCTCAAGCACACGGTGAGGGGTCAGAGCACGGGACGGGGCCGTGGGGCCAGCTGCCGTGCCCAGGCTCAGGCCACAACCCGCACCGGGCCAGGAGCCTGGAAGCCAAGGCCTCCCACCCAGCAGGGGCAGGAGTGAACAGCTGCCCGCCTGGGGCATGTTGCAGGGCACGTGGCCGCGCTGAACATGCTGCAGAAGCAGTCGCCGCTGCACACCGTGCCCTTCTTCTGGACTGTGCTGCTCGGGATGAGCATCCGCTACGCAGGTGGGGAGGCCACATGGGCACAGTCCCACACCCTCGCCCCACCTGTTTGCAGGCTCTGGGGGTGTAGTGCAGACCCCCTGCCCTGGCCCTGCTCTGGGTTGGGCTGGAGAACATGCCCTCTGCCCCTCAGCAGTGGGGGAGCGGGCGTCAGGACTCTGGGTGCTTGGCAGGGCCCCAGCTCCAGGCTCGGGGGCACCTGGCCTGCCGTCCCCGCCCACCCTCACTCGCTGACCCTAGGTGGCAGCCACCCACAGCTGGGGCCCGCAGGCAGGCCCGGCCCTGCCCTCACCCATCTCCTTGCCATCAGGCTCTGGGAAAGGCTTCACCGAGACGGTGGTGAAGGGAAGCCTGGAGGAGCAGAAGTTTGTCATCTTCTACATCAAGTGAGTGCTAGGCAGCTGCATGGTTCCCCGGGGCCCAGCTGGGAGCAGCCAGGAGCTTGTGCCCTCACTGCCCCCGAGGCCCTGGGCACTTGGGCTCTCTGCCACAGCCACCCGGGGCAGGGCAGACCCACGCCCTCAGGCCAGCCATGCGCGGGCACGTGCCCTGGAGGAAAGGAGGGCGGTACAGGGCCTCCTCGCCAACACCTCCCTCCTGCAGGGATGGCTACGTGACTGCAGCTGCCAGCCTGAAGTGCGACCCGATAGTGGCCATGGTGGCAGAGGCCCTCTACGCCGGGAAAGTCATCTCCAAGGAGGAGGCCGAGTAAGTAGCTGACTCATGTCAGCCCCTCCCCGCGCCGGCCAGGGCTGCGGGGGCTGGTCCTGCGGCCTCGGGCCAAGCCCAGGCCCGAGCCCAGCGCTCCCTTGCGTCTTGCAGGGGCTCCTGGACCGCCTGGCTGGAGCTGTCACAGCCCGAGAGCACCGCGGCGGAGAGAGGCTCCTAGTCCTGTACTGCAGCCCTCCCACCCCCAGTGCCTTAGGGTCTGGGACAAATAAAGGCCAAAAACCAACTGAGCAACTGGTGCTGCCTCGGTCTCTGCGTGCGGGGGCAGAAGCCAGCGCCCACCCCGGGCCCAGGAGGAGCCCTATGCTTGCTGCCCCCACAGCCCACCCGCAACAGGCCACATCCTAGCAGTGGGACAGGGCTGCTGCAGCTCACAGCACCAGCTAGGCCAGGGTGGGGTGGGGGCAACACGCGCTCTCCCCCCTCAGGGCTAGGCAGGCCCTTCCCAAGGTGGCAGCAGCTCCTACACAGAGGAAGCAGAAACATGGACGGGCAGGGGCCGAATGCTACAGCCACCCTATACCCTAGCCCCCCATGCTGGGTCAGGGTCAGGGCCAGGGCCCTCCTCCCCTCTGCTCCAGCACAGACCCAGCCATGGGAGTAGGGGTGTGCTGTGGCCGAGCTCTCCCCCTACGTCCAGCCAGGAGCCTGGCCTAGCACAGAGGGAGCCTGGCCAGCCGTGACCGGCAGCAGGTGGCACAAGCAGCCAGGGAGCTCGGCTGAGCGCCAGCCCCTGACAGACCTGGCGTGGAGCCCAGCTTCTCCCCCCGTGCCCGGCCAGAGCAGGGGCAG